CAAAACTGGGAGAAAACTTGAGTGTATAGATAATCCATATTTACAGTTGGATATGGTCTTAGATACAGTTTATATTGCAGCGTGGGATGTAAATAAGGGTTGGGGTGGGTTTTTTTTTTTTTTTTGCCTTTGCTTAGGGAAAAAAATGGTCTCTCCGATTTTAAAGTGAGGGAAGTGTTTGTGTGGTTTCTTTATTCCTCTGCTTCTGTTGTGACATTTTTTTTCTTTGGAAGGACTTTTGGATCTTTCCACTCCTCGTTTGAGAACCATGCTGCTCTCCACACGCATGCGCCTAGGCCTGAAAATGCATTTAGTCTGTTTACAAGTTAGAGTTTAAGGGCAAAACTCTAAGGCAACAGGATGCGTCATCTCAAGACTGCTGTGACCCCAGGCTATGTCCACGCCATGGTCTGGAGACGCCGGGACCACTTGCCTGGACCTACTCAGAGCAGCTTTTATGTAGCTAGCTCGGATACACTAGGATCCGTAACAAACTTAAAAAAAAAAAAAAAAAAAAAATCCTGCAGAAAACCCAAATCCTGCAGAATCTGGCTGGCCTTGGAGCCAGCAAGCGGGAGCAGCGAGCGGGAGCGAGGCTGCTTCCCTGTCCTTGTGGGAGCGCCCGTTTCAGGCCGGAGCTCTCCGAGGCCTCGCGCGGCTCCGCAGGCAGGAGCTGCTGCCGGCGGCCGGGCCGCTCCCCGCTCCAGAGCGGAGCAGGGAACCGCGGGCACGAGGTCGGCCTCGGAACCGCCTCACCTCGGGGCACTGGGTGCACAGTTTCATGTACACATAAATACATAGGGATCGTGGGGTGCCTTGCACTTTTCTGTCACACACACACACATACTCACATATATTTCCATTCCTCACTGAAATTTCATTTGAAATCCTGTCTCTTTTTTTGAGGYGGAGTGATACTCTGGATTCAGCAGTGCAGACAGAAATCAGAAATACCATACACTTTTAGCTGTTTATATCCTCAGGTATCTGAGTTGTTCTCAAATAGACTCTTTATTATTTGCAATTAGCTTTTGCATTATTTTTACTACAAACAGTAATGAATAATAACAGCTGGATATTAGGAAAGATTCTAAGGGAAAATACATGTGATTCCTTTACAAGAAAACATCTTTTTCCAGACAGACCCGGCTGTGGCGTTACCAGTACAAAAGCTTCATAAAACTCTGAACTTAACTCCAGGTCACTATATCCAGGTTTCCTCCAGAAGAAAACACACAGATTTTGTATGACCTTTAGCAACCACAGCGTGTTGTCAATTCAACCTGCCTCCCAGGAGGCGCTTACCATAAGGCRTATAAGGTGTATAAGCGCCTGGGCTCCTTCTGCTCCCTGCGTCGCCTCACCCAGCAGCCCGCAAGGCACCGCACAGACCTCTGCAAAGCAGCTTCCAAAGCGGCTTCCCTCACACCGGCAGATTCCCATCACTCCAGGAGCGCAGGATAAGCCTAAAAATTATTTTGTAAGGAATGAGAGGGAAAAAAAAAAAAAAGAAAAAAAAAACTTGCTTTTGAAAATTTCGCTGTGAAAATCGCTGTTGGTCAATATAATGTGAGCTCCAGAGCCAGGAGCTCTGCGCTGAATGCAGCAGCCGGGTAAGCAAGAGATTTTGGGATTTTTGTAGTCACTAGTTAAAGCGAAAAATGGCTGTGAAGAGTTGGGTGGAGCTGACATTCCTGCCAAAACAAAACAGTAGTAACAACGAAAAAGCACACGAGTCTAAACTATTTTTAGTAAGTTCTTATCTTAAAACACTTAGATCCATAGGTAGCACTGCCTGAATTTCTATGACATTTCTTGTGATGGAAGCAGTGACTTTGATGCACTGTAAAGCGGGGAGATTGAGGCTTTACCCACAGTTGCCGCTTTCTGTCGTGGATTCTCTGGTATCTAATAAGGGTTGAGTTCATGTTGCAACATTTCCTGTAGCTGGAGAATTTAAAGGTTTTTCTCTTCTCTACTTGACTAYTTTCAAAAATAAATTTAGCAAAGTAGTTATCTTGGGCACCTCTGTCAAATTCAGCTAAAATCAGGCAATGAGTTCAAACACTATTAGAAAGGGATATACAAACTCACATAAGCTGCACAAGAAATCTTGTAAGTGCAGAAAGTTAAACCAAGTCGCCTTTGTTTCTCCGTGGAAGAAGACAGTGAGTAATCACACTGAAATATAATGCAAAGTGTAGCACTTACTAAAAAAAAAAAAGAAAAAGAAAAATATTTTATTAAAAATAAAAACACATAAATGTTTAAACTTTTTTTTCCTTTTTCCCTCCCTCCAACAGATTTGTGGGTTTCTTTCAAAATCATCAGTTGCTGCAGTCCAACTAAAACACGTGGAGAAAAACTATTTTTCCCCGTAATTCGCTCACCCACCTGGGAAGACTGATTTAACTCATCCGTCTCCTGAGGCGCTGAGTACCAGAGACACCCTTCGCTCCTCTCAGAAACTTTAGCCCTTGGAGACAACCAATACACTGGGACTGCCCACAAATTTTAGTGAAAGTTAGTGGGCTTGGAGTACACAAACCACACAAATGCCTTTGGGGGAAAAATAACAATAATGCGGTCTTCAAAATGGATTTAAAGCCGCTACGGCTTTGCAGTCCGTGCAAGCTGCTGATTTTCCCTGCGTTTATCGCCCGTTGCTCCGTTTTAAAGAGGGTGCAGGGCGCTGAGGGGGGCGGCTGCACCTGGGCGCAGCTCCTCGCGCGGCAGCGGCCCCGGTTCCGCCTCCTCATCCTCATCCTCATCCTCATCCTCATCCTCATCCTCATCCTCATCCTCATCCTCATCCTCATCCTCATCCGCCTCCTCATCCTCATCCTCATCCTCATCCTCATCCTCATCCTCATCCTCCTCGCCGCATCTCAGGGGCAAAGGCAGAGGGAACAGGGCTGGTCGGGAGGCTGGGAAGGGGCTGAGCGCGGTTAGGAAGCGCTGCAGAGCAGCACGAGGCGGGAAATGTAGGATCCAGCTCTTAATCTTAATGCACTTCCCAATTGCCCCTGAACTTCCACTTTCCAGAAAGCTGACAGCACCTGGCTCCGGGTCCCGGGCAGGCAGGCGCTGGAAGGTATAGATTTAAGCGGGACTTTTGGCTGGTTAAACCTAGCGGTTAATTTCAGTCCAGTGGTAAAACTGAGTAGTCACAAACATTACACGTGTGTTTGCCGTGCCAGTTATTTGCGCTGAATTTAGTGTCAAGGGTTTCCACTCCGTCTCCTTTCGCAAGCGCGGGGCTTCTCGCTCGGTTTGCGGGTTCCTGCAGCAAGAGCAGCACCCGCTGAGCTGCGCAGGGCCGCCCATCCTTCCCGCTGGAGCTGGGGGTGCCGGGGAGCGCTCAGGTGCTGCCTGCGCGCAAATCCCCCCGTGTCCGTGTGCGTGAGAGGGAAAGGGCGCGGGCCGCTTGGGCAGCCCACTCCAGGTGCTGAAACCGCACGCAGTTACACCAGGCAAGGAGCGCTGCTTTTAACTGGGAGGGGGGAGGTGAAAGGA